AAAAAGTAGATTAAAGAGAAAGAAAGAAAGAAAGAAAGAAAGAAAGAAAGAAAGAAAGAAAGAAGAAAGAGAGAGAGAAAGTGATCACATTATCCCAGAGAGATAATAGATGATGGGGAAAGCAAAATACACTGGATCAGAGTACATACAGTATATTTCCATCAGTCTGGTCTACTGAATCAATTGTCACCAAACTTTTCCTTCCTCAAGACTTTTCTTTTGCGCTAGTATCAGTTGTTTTGTAAGCCCAAGAATAAAAAAGGTCCAATTACAATTTTTGTAGGCCCTTTTACTAATGAATTCCTTAAATTTTATTTAAATAAAACACTTAAGCAGCACAACATGTAGACCTTTACTTCCAGTGCCTTTTTTTTGGGGGGGGAGCCCTCTCCCCACTTTGATATCAGGGTCCCACTATTTATCTCTTTGACATTTACCTGCTTTGGGGTAAGAGCAGATGAGAAGATCATCTGGCCGTGCCTGGAAGCTTTTTATTTGATCCCAGTGTTCTGCAGTTGTGGTGGGCAAAGAAACTCCTTCGATCTCTATCAGTGAACAACGCGTGACAAATTTGGAGTCCAAATCTTCAAGGCTAGAAGGTAGCTCCATATTCTGGTTGTGGAGAGAAAAGATAATATCAGAAAATTGTGCTTTCTTGATTTTATCCCAGTCATCCTATCAGTGTCTTTCCTCTGCTTCATTCAATTGTTGATCTTACCAACTGATCCTCCAATGTTCTTCAGGTCAACCAATAATTCTTTTTGTATGCCTCAGTGTTTAGCTTTCTTCCAGGTCTGCACACTCCAATTGACTGAGTAGTTAAGAATGAAATGGAGAAAAATGTTTGCTTACTAATATTACTTAATCCTAAATTTACACTTTTAGCCTGGACCTTCACCTATGTTAAATGAACAACTTAGCCACTCACTCTTTAAGCCCCCAGCTGCATTCATTGTCAGTTACTGTATCAGTCAGAAGTGATTACAGATGTGCTGAACGTCAGAAGGAGGAGGCACATCCCCTATTGCTATTACTGGTTGCTAAAATGTTGTTGTTGTTTAATAAAATACTTATTCAAAATAGAAATCCCTGATGCTTCTATATATGTGATAGTAAATAAATATATTAAATATACTTTTTCCTAGGGTTTGAAATCTTTTGCATTATTTAGGAAAACTTCCACATCTATCCTGGGTGCAAACAGTGTTTTATATATATATAGCAATGTTCTGTACCAGGGGTGAAACCGACCAGCAGGTTCTAGAGAACCGGTAGCAGAAATTTTGAGCAGTTCAGAGAACCAGTAGCAGAAATTTTGACTACCACCTCTGGGTGGCCCCAGAGTGGGGTGGGAGTGGAGATTTTGTAATATCCTTCCCCTGGAGTGGGGTGGGAATGGAGATTTTGCAATATCCTTCCCCTGCCACACCCAGCAAGCCACATCACACCCATCAAGCCACACCCACAGAACCGGTAGTAAAAAAATTTGGATTTCACCACTGTTCTGTACCATTAGCTATGGTAGTTAACGTGACTGAGGCAAATACAATTCTTTGCTCCTCATTTAACTACAGTATAATGTCTAGGGTAGACCAAGGTTGTATGATATATGTGCAAAAAAAGCTCTGCCAATCTAAAAATGAAAATGCAATACCAATTCTGCCCAAGTTTATCTAGGAAAAGTGAAACTGAGATCTGAATCACTTCTCAACTTATACAGCAACTGAGTTGGGGACTCAAGTATGCTGTATCATTCATTAAGGGTTTCCAGAAACAGATTCTAGCTAGCTGAATTAATTTTACTTTGTACAAGTAGAGAAACTATAATTTAGCAACCTATCCTTTGATTTAACATCTCAGGGAGCATGCCTTTTTATTTCAACTTCGTTCCATGGTGACTATCGGATTGGAAATGAGGAATTTTACCTTCCTTTATACAGATTATTCCTGCCCTGCCATGTAATGCATCTTAAATTTATTTATTTATTTATTTATCTATTTTTCATATTTGTATACTGCCCTACTCCCGAAGGACTCAGGGTGGTGAACATCCAAAAATAAAATACAAAGACATACAAAAGTTAAAAACTATTAATAACAGATTAAATAATTTAGGCTCAGAGATTAAAAACATCCAATTTATCTAAAAGAGATTTTAATACCCAATTTAAAAGTCAATTTAAAAGCTAATTTAAAAGGAGAGTTAGGCCAGACCAGCCTGTTGGAATAAAAACGTTTTTAGGGTGCGGCGGAAGATGCGTAAGTCTTGGATCCTCCGTATCTCCGGGGGGAGCTCGTTCCAGATGGCAGGTGCCCCCACAGAGAAGGCTCTCCCCCTGGGGGCCGCCAGTCGACATTGTTTGGCCAGAGAGAATTTGAAACAGACCATTATATACCCCAATAAGGAAGTCTCTTCTTCCAATGGTACTGAAAAGAACCTGGCATTCATTAAGAATTTCACTTTTAACCTACTGACTTTCTTACTTGCATTTACCTCAAGTACAAATAGCAATACTATGGAAGAGGAACGAGATTAATTTAACAAGGTAATGGTGAGATAGAAATGGAAGAAGTTGTATGGAATCTGATGGCCACTGATTTAATTATGGAATGTACATATCTGTTTTCTTACTCCATTCTGCCATGGATTTACAGGATATAACAAACTAAAGATAAGATCCAACATGCAGAATTACAGACTTATGTTCAAGTTCACTCAGCTGACAAATTACCTCCATGGAGCAATTCATTCCAAAATCCATAACAGGTGCAATTGCATAATTTTCCAGAACACCAGGGTAATTTATATCTCTCTTTGTCTGAGCTACTAAATAGAAGGATAAATAAATAAGCTTTTGCGTTTTTCTATTGTTTTGTGTATTGGATTAGTGTTCAGAATGAGGAAATATTCTTCTTTCTTTATTTTTCAAGTGTGCTTGCCTTGCTAATTTAAAGATAAAATTTGCAGAGCTTTAATAAGTTAACCCTATGTGTGTGTATGGGCGTTTGAGTCAGTGTTAATTCCCAGTGGCTACCTGAACAAGTTCCTGCAGATTTTCAGAAGCAGTTTGCCATTGCCTGCTTCCCAGGGCTGAGAGAAAGTGACTGGCCCAAGGCGGTGGTGAAATCCAAATTTTTTTACTATCGGTTCTGTGGGCGTGGCTTGGTGGGCATGGTATGGCTTGGTGGGCGGGGCAGGGGAAGGATACTGCAAAATCTCCATTCCCACCCCACTCCAGGGAAGGATACTGCAAAATCCACATTCTCTCCCCACTCCTGGGGGAAGGATATTGCAAAATCTCCATTCCCACCCCACTGTGGGGCCTGCCAGAGGTGGCATTTGCTAGTTCTCCGAACTACTCAAAATTTCTGTTGCGTAACCTGTTAACTATTTTCTTTTCATATATGCAATGTGTGACAGGTCAACTGGATTGCAAATAGATGTACAAGCTTATTTTGAAACTGTTTACAAGGGGGGAGTTACTGTATTTTTCAGAGCATAAGACGCACCTTTTCCCCCCTAAAAGGGGGTGAAAATTTAGGTGTGTCTTATACACCCACCCATTGGCCCCCACCCTTTGGTCTCTGCCTCCCAGCAGTTTACCTCCTTGCAGCAAGCAGCAAGAAGAAACAGCTCCTTTCAGCTTCAGCACAGCCTGATTAGTACAAGTTGATTGTCGGTTGGATCAGCCTCCTGACTCTCAGCTGTTTTGCACGGGCCTCTGCTGCTTGCTGCAAGGAAGGAATTACTGGGAGCAGATTCTTTTTTTCTTGTGCTAATCAAGCTATGCTGAAAACGAAACGGAAAGTAAAGCAAGCTCTTTGCTGTTTTCTGCAATGAGGCAAAATTGTTGGGAGGCAGAGGCAGATTTCTTTTTCTTGTTTTCCTCACCAAAAAAGGTAGGTGTGTCTTATAGTCCGGAGCGTCTTATACTCCGAAAAATATGGTTTTATTGTTGCAATAGATTTGACAGCATTTTACTGGGAGGGATAATTTGTATTTTTGTCCTTTTTTTAATTCACTTTTTTTGCTTTGTCTTTAATCTTTTTCTTTTGGATTGTGTATTTTGACCTTTTGAATAAAATAAAATTGTTGACAAAAAAAGAACCAACATTAAATTTAATTCATACAGATGGGTGATCAATAGTTATTAGTCTTGTCTGAAGGTCATCTACTGGGAGACTAGTGGGATCCCTTGTGCAATTAGTTGGCCATTGTGAAAACAGACTGCTGGGTTAGAGAGGTCAGGGGTCTGATCCAACAGAGCACTAGTTACATTCTTATATTAAATACAGTTCGTATCTTAACTTTCCACTCAGGTCTTCTGGATGCCATACTTTTGCTTTGCATAGTTAAGACATTTGGTGAGGAAGTATTGATCAGCAACTTTTGAACAAAATTATTTTATATGTACAATTCATTAATGGAGCTGAAAAACAGATGGAAGCTGGATGCCCAGTTTACACATAGGAGAAACATCTACCTGAAACATACAGATATTTTCAATTCTGCCACAACATATTTATTTATTTATTGGTTCGATTTATATGCCGCCCTTCTCCGGAGACTCAGGGTGGCTTACAATGCGTTAAGCAACAGCCTTCATATTTTTGTATATACCTGCTTAGTAGGACTTTCAGGCCCCCCATAAGCGATGTTCTTTTTTATACAAAGTCAGCTTATTGCCCCCACAATCCGGGTCCTCATTTTACCTATCTCAAAAGGATGGAAGGCTGAGTCAACCTTGAGCCTGGTGAGATTCGAACTTGCAGTAACTGCAGGCAGCTGGTGTTACTTAACAGCACTTTAATCTGTTGTGCCACCAAGGCTCTTACCTATACCCTATATATGCTCCACCTATACCTATTCAAGTTGAATTCCAGTTTTAGCAGCTGTTAAAAGGGAGGAGTAGGAGGAAAGAGGAAAGTCACTGCTTATGTTCAGATTAAATACAGCTCATGTCTCTATGCTTTGCATAGTTAAGAGATATGGTGTGGAAATCAAAAGCCTTGATCAGCAATTTTTGCACAGAATTATTTTATGTATACAATTCACTCATCCAGTTGGAAAGGAGACAGAAGCTGGTTGCTCGGTTTTCATATGTGAGAAATATCTACCTGAAACTTAGAAGTATTTCCAAATCTGCCTCAACAGATATGCCCCACCCAGACAGTTTGTTAAGAGGGAGGAGTAGACAGAAAGCTAAAAGTCCATAACAGAAGTGAAAAAGCAAGTGGATCGGAAAGTGTACATTCTGACAACTCAGCTAAAGAAAGCACAAGTGACTAAGAAGTACCATACAATAATATCTCTTTTGCTGTGTTGTGGGTGAGCCCCAAATCAGAGATGGAAAGTTTAGAAAACAAATCTATCAACCACTCCAAACTGGGGGAAATTGAAGGAATCCCAATGCCCAGTGAAATGGTAGAGAATTGGAATCTAATACGTGGCTTTCAAGCTCGGCCTGATGACCTTCTTCTCTGCACTTATCCCAAAGCAGGTAAAGAGGAGTCCATGAGAATGACTGGCAGAGCTATGGGAGAAGGAGAACCAGGAAATGTGGATAGCCATGACAGCTGGATGAATTCTCTATTCCCTATAGCTTTTCTCTTTCCTTCCTGGTAGGGACCACGTGGATACAAGAAATTGTGGACATGGTCCAGCATAGAGGAGATGCACAGAAATGTGCCCGTGCACCCATTTACGAGCGGAGCCCCTACATAGAACTTTTCCTTCCAAAGCCCATCCCTTCAGGTGAGTCTCACAGGCACAGAGGGAAACAAGTAGAATTAAACACTTTACTCTGCAATGTGTGAATGTCTTCTCTGACCTTGCAGGCTTTGAATTGGCATTAGCAATGCCTTCCCCGCGAACCCTCAAATCTCATCTCCCAGTTCATCTCTTGCCAACTTCCTTCTGGGAACAAAATTGCAAGGTTAGAACTACGGGGGGTATTCAAAGATCTGGAATTCTTTACTCAGTATTTCAATGTTTACTGTAGAGTTTCGTTCTGTAATGCTTTCCCAACCTATAGCCATGCATAGTGTGCCTTAGTTCTAAACAGATATGAAATTATTTGATATAAGTGAATTAAATACAAAAGTTAATTAAATGCAAAAATACAAAAAAAAATCACAGCAGCAATCAAGAAAGAAAAGTTTCAGCAGTCAAGAAGGAAAAGTCTGCAACTTTTACATTAAATTTTGCTTTCCACTGGATCAGATTTAGGTGAGGTTACAGCACCTAATCAACTTTGACTGATCTTGAAAAACTAAGCAGAATTAGATTTGATTGCTATGTGGAAGGAGGTTCACCAAAGGCTCAGGCACATCATATAGTTCCCATAAGTTGAACTTCCTTCAATTTATGTTCTCCATAAGTTTTATTTTCACAGATCATTTATGTGGCCAGAAATGCCAAGGACTGTGCTGTCTCCTTCTTCCATTTCCACCGCATGAATAAATTACTTCCAGATCCAGGAACGTGGGAAGATTTTCTGGAGAATTTCATTGCTGGGAAAGGTAAGTGGAGACTATTTATGTAAAGAACAAAACTTCTTAACTGAATGTTTTATGGGAGCAGATAATCCTGATAACTCTTCCATTGAGTTTCATGATACAAGAGATGAGTGGGACTTTCTGGTTAATAACACAGAAGAGTGAACAGGATCTCGTAAAAAGAAGATAAAAATATAGGAAAATCTGGTGCTAATTTTTTCCCCTAGATTTTCTATATTTGTAATTTAGATTTACAGTTTGGATACTATATAACATTTTCTATTTCTAATTTGAGTTTCTCATTGTAGTTTGTTATGGCTCATGGTTTGATCATGTTCGTGGTTGGTGGGAGGCTAAAGACCGTCATTCAATTTTGTACCTCTTTTATGAAGACCTAAAAGAGGTAAGCATCTCTCATACATTTATATGTACAAACATACTCAGGTAATAATTTCCATTAAAGAGAACCTTAGAACCTCTTACTACTAATGTTCACCAATAAGGTTCACATTTTTTCTATAGGTGATCCCTGAATTAACAATCACAATTGGGATAGAAAGTTAATTAATGCTATTTAAACCAGAAACATAACCTGAAAATATTGAATAGTAAACTTATTAAAAACCACAAGCCTAAGCAATAGGGATAAAAATATAGCACAATTTTATGTAAGATTTTGAAAAAAACAATCACCTACAGATATATGATCTGGTTAAAAATACAGACCTAATAGTCACAACTTTATTACACATACACACACAAACCATAAACTATCAGACTGGCAACTATGATGCAATGTGTAAAAATTCCCCCCACTGTGTATGATATCATTGTTTGACTTGCAAAGTTCAAAAATTTGTTTTTCCAATTGCAATTATTTGTGGAGCCCTGGGATTCCATGCTTTTGTAGTTGAAAAGATAGATACAGACTGCTAAACAGATTTGGATTTTGAAGGGAAAAGGTGCAACTACTTTTCGTTAATTGTTTTCCTCACTCTGCTATATCTACTGCTCTGTTGTAGTCTATCACAATGAATAGAAAATCTGAAAACCTTACTGATTGATCAGTGTGAACACAAGTTACTTTGAGAAAAGCTAAATGAGTAAATTAGCTAGAAGCTCCTAATTATGACAACAAAACATGGGGGGATGAAGACCACATACAAACATCTTTTCCGAATGAGACTTTCTATATTCTCACAATCTAATTCACTTCATGTCTCGTTCTAATCTTTCTTTTCCTTCCCAGAATCCAACTCAGGAAATCCAGAAAGTAGCTCAGTTCCTAAGTATAGATCTTACAGCATCAGTCCTGGATCAGATTGTGCAGCACACGGGATTTGACAGCATGAAAGAAAACCCAATGGCTAATTACAGCAACATACCTTCCTCTGTCCTTGACCAGACAGTGTCACCCTTTATGAGAAAAGGTGGGGAGAATAACGAAGTTCTAGCTACACCTGATGGGAAGGGGAGCATTTGGGACTGTGTTGAGCAGTGAGAAAAATAAAAAGGAACTATTATATTGTTGTCCAAAATAGTTTCCAAAGTAACTGGAACAAAGGTGACAATAATAGAATAACAAAGTTGGAAGGGACCTCAGAATTCTTCTAGTCCAAACTCCTGCTCAAACAGGAGATCCTGTACCATGACAGACAAGTGGCTGCCCAGTCTCTTCTTAAAAACCTCCAGTGATGAAGCACCCACAACTCCCGAAGACAAGCCGTTTCACTGACTAATTGTTCTCACTGTCAGGAAATTTCTCCGTATGTCTAGGTTGGATCGCTCACTGATAAGTTTCCAACTTATCCAAAGTGGAAAGACTTCTTAGCAGTCAAACGGCTGTGAGAAAGAGTTCAGAAATTGGGTCAGAACAGCGTTTCTCAGCCAAGTCCATGTGAGGATGTGTGGACTTCAGTCCCCAGAATCCGGACATCTTAACAAGGCCAAGGCTGAGAAGCACTGAGCTTGAAGAAAGAAATCTGGAAATTCAGGTTGTTGAGAATATATTTTTGTCTTTCTCTAAATATTTTCCTCATCTCTAGGCACCGTAGGTGACTGGAAGGAATACTTCACAATGTCTCAAAGCCAACAACTGGATGAAATCTGCACCCAAAAACTAAGTAACAGTGGCTTGGAGTTCCGCACAGAGCTATAAATAGACTTCCCAATGCCTTCAAGCAAGACTTTTTCTCAGACTGATTTCTACTTGAGTTAAAAGAAATAATCACGAATTTACAAGCAATGGTAGAAAGTCCTTTTGTGATTATAAGCCTCATAATTCCCCTGAGAATGAATGGAAAGAGTCAGTCTCTTAATTACTCTCTGTGATGAGGAGATAAAGAATGAGTACATTTTATTTGAATAACCTTTGCATCATGTCTTTTCCCAAAAATCTCAGAGAGGCAGATATAATTTGTGGTAAGGATACATTTTATCCTTACAGGAATTCAGCTTGTGGATTGTGCAAGAAAAAGGAGAAAAAGAGAACAAAGATGATCAAAAACCTAAATTATAGCCAAACGTAGCATAGCCTTCTCCCCTTACCCTGATCACATCTGTTTTTGGAGAAATTTGCAGCAAATGGCCAATATCCATAAATCTTGCCAAACGAAACTTCTCACTCTTGGCCCTGCTAAGTAGACAGGTAATCTTCCTTTAACAACCACTTGTTCTGCATCTTTTCGAAGTTACAGCACTGAAAGAGTGGTACTTATGACAATCCTCCAAGTTCCAGCTGTCCCACCAACCCTGTGGTTATGTGATCACAATCTGACTGATTGGCAAGTGGCTTGCACCTACGACAATTGCAATATGCCACAGTCACATAATTGCCATTTGTGAGATTCCCTGCAGGCCTTCTGCAAGCAAAGCCAAGTTGCCTGCACCCTCCAGTATCTGACAGCAGTGATCCCTGGCTGAAGAAGAGTTATTCAGGAAGAAGGCAAGGGAGTGTTATTTACAGTTGTGATGAAAATTAATTAAGTAACTAAATCAACCATTCCTTCCTTCCCTTTGTTTCTGACTTAATCCTTAAAACGTTGCTCGCATCACCTACAGACAATAGATCTAGTCCATCAACATCAAGGTTTATGAATTGCAGAATAAAATAAGAAGACAAGGGAGTATTATTTACGATTGTGATCCCCACTGATTAATCAACCTTTTCTTCCTATGCTTCTTCTCAAACTTAATCCTTAAAATGTAGCCCACATTGCCCAGCAGAATGTATCTAGACCAGCTTAAAATTAAGATTTATGAACAACAGAATAAAATAAGTATCTATCTTTTGTGGGATGATCTTTGTTTTTAGTCCTGGAAAACATAATGTATAGAGTCCCCAATAGTCTGCTATATGCTTGGAGTAAACTTGTATTTGGTACAAATTCAGAGAAGGAAATCAAATCATCATGGGGTTCAGAACGGACAGCGTTAAATTATATCACCAATGGGCAACATCCATATTAACAGCTTAAGGAAAGTGGTTAAGGCTCCAGGCTAGAAACCAGTGATTCAGTATAACAAACATGAGCCCTATTTATAGTGAAATTGAGGTTTAAAAATAGGAAAGTTTCTACTGTGAGCGTCAAAAAAAAGATGCCATAGACTTGAAGCCAGTCTCTTTTTTGGGGAAAAAAAAAAGGGGTGGGGGGAAGGGCCAGGTTCTACATGTTCATTGTTTTCGTAATAGAGTAATATAGTTATAGGCTGCTTACTTCTGATCTCCTGAGAACCTATTTTCACACAGTGCCACCATTATGGCATTAATAAGACCTTCTTTCAATATTGAAAGACCTGCCTTCCATTGAGGACCTGTATACTGCAAGAGTCAAAACGAGGGTGGTGAAAATATTTACAGACCCCTCGCATCCTGGACATTAACTGTTTCAACTCCTACCCTTAAAAACGATGCTATAGAGCACTGCACACCAGAACAACTAGACACAAGAAGAGTTTTTTCCCGAATGCCATCACTCTGCTAAACAAATAATTCCCTCAACACTGTCAAACTATTTACTAAGTCTGCACTACTATTAATCTTCTCATCGTTCCCACCACGCATCTCCTTCCACTTATGACTGTATGACTGTATGACTGTAACCTTGTTGCTGGTATCCTTAAGATTTATATTGACTGTTTCTCTATGACTATCATTAAGTGTTGTACCTTATGATTCTTGATGAACGTATCTTTTATGTACTCGGAGAGCATATGCACCAAGACAAATTCCTTCTGTATTCAATCACACTTGGCCAATAAAGAATTCTATTCTATTCTATTCTATTCTATTCTATTCTATTCTATTCTATTCTATTCTATTCTATTCTATTCTATTCTATTCTATTCTATTCTATATGAGGAACCCTGGTGGGTTTCCTTAGGAAAATAATCTGTTTTTAAAAAATAAAATCTACACAATAGTTGTCAATATGTTGGGTTGGAGTTAGGAAAACCCACCCTGTTCTCGCATCAGCCATTTAGTTCATTGGATACTCTCTAAACCCCTCCACATCCACAGGATTGTTGCCATTTTAGGAATAAAACTAAAGGAGAACTTCAAAGAAATAAACTGGGGTAAATATGCAAGAGATTAATTAATGTTGATATTAGGTTGTTTCTAGGCCACAAAAATACATGTTAGTGGTCATACACCAAAAACTGATGACATGAGATCAGAACTGACATTAAATTTTATTTTAGATACCGTATACTTCATTCAAATGGGAGATCAATAGATATTAGTCTTGTCTGGGAAACCAATGGCTTCCTTGCCCAACTGGTTGGTCGCCGTGAGAATGGACTGCTGGGTGAGATAGGCCAGGGGTCTGATCTAGCAGAGCACTGCTTATGTTCAGATTAAATACAGCTCATGTCTCTATGCTTTGCATAGTTAAGAGATATGGTGTGGAAATCAAAAGTCTTGGTCAGCAATTTTTGCACAGAATTATTTTATGTATACAATTCATTCATCCAGTTGGAAAAGAGACAGAAGCTGGTTGCTCGGTTTTCATATGTGAGAAATATCTACCTGAAACTTAGAAGTATTTCCAAATCTGCCTCAACAGATATGCCCCACCCAGACAGTTTGTTAAGAGGGAGGAGTAGACAGAAAGCTAAAAGTCCATAACAGAAGTGAAAAAGCAAGTGGATCGGAGAGTGTACATTCTGACAACTCAGCTAAAGAAAGCACAAGTGACTAAGAAGTACCATACAATAATATCTCTTTTGCTGTGTTGTGGGTGAACCCCAAATCAGAGATGGAAAGTTTGGAAAACAAATATATCAACCACTCCAAAATGGTGGAAATTGAAGGAATCCCAATGCCCATTGAAATGGTAGAGAATTGGAATCTAATACGTGGCTTTCAAGCTCGGCCTGATGACCTTCTTCTCTGCACTTATCCCAAAGCAGGTAAAGAGGAGTCCATGAGAATGACTGGCAGAGCTATGGGAGAAGGAGAACCAGGAAATGTGGATAGCCATGACAGCTGGATGAATTCTCTATTCCCTATAGCTTTTCTCCTTCCTTCCTGGTAGGGACCACATGGATACAAGAAATTGTGGACGTGGTCCAGCATAGAGGAGATGCACAGAAATGTGCCCGCACACCCATTTACGAGAGGAGCCCCTACATAGAACTTTTCCTTCCAAAGCCCATCCCTTCAGGTGAGTCTCACAGGCACAGAGGGAAACAAGTAGAATTAAACACTTTACTCTGCAATGTGTGAATGTCTTCTCTGACCTTGCAGGCTTTGAATTGGCATTAGCAATGCCTTCCCCGCGAACCCTCAAATCTCATTTTCCAGTTCAACTCCTGCCAACTTCTTTCTGGAACAAAATTGCAAGGTTAGAACTATTGGAGATGGGATTCATAGATTTGGAACTCTTTACTCAATGTATCAATGTTCACCAAGGTGTAGGGTTTCATTATGTAATGCTTTCCTATCTTACAGCCCAGGCACTCTACTTTTTCAGAATCCCCTCAATTTAGCATTTGTTCAGAGGTGAACAAGATCTATATTTTCCAATCTGGTACTTGTGGGACTACAGTGCTCACCATCCCTATTCAGCACAATATGGTCATAGGTGGTGATTGCATTTGAAGAATAGTTCAAGGAAACAGGAATTAACTATGTTTGAACAGCCCAAAATTTCTAAATGTTTTCCCTATCTCATAAACATTTCACTTAGAGAAGATAATGTCACTGAGCCTAAGCAGACTCAGAATTTAATCTGATGCATGTTTGATCTTGGAATCAATTTACACTGCCAGGGTTCTGTTCTACAACATTGTCAGCCCTGCCACAACTTAAACCTCTAAATAGAAACAATCCTTGGCTCCATTTGTTGAGAAAGATATAGTTTATTAGAGATCAAGTGTATTGCAGTATTGCAAAGCCAGAACTCAGAATTGTGTGCCAAAATCCCTAAATTCTACTTTTTCCTCCCTTAACTCTCTCACTGTCTATCCTGGTGTAACTAATAGGTTCAAGCAAGATGCTTCCATAACAGTCAGTCCAAGTGCAGTTTGGTATATGTCCCACTCCTTCTTCCAGCTGGGTGACCTTGAAGCAGTGGCTCAAGGAGGCCCAGTGTTTACTTTCGTTTCCCAAGCATTCCTCCCTTCATTCCCCCTCCCCACAGTTCATGGCAGTCTGTCACCATATAGCAGTGAAGAACAAGCAAGCATAACCTACATTTGATATGAAGGAGGACATTTTCCTTTTTTCCCTTGATTGTTACAATACTTCTTAATGTTGTTACCTAGTTTGGGTAATTAAATGTTTGCAAGAAAACAGAGAGCACCAAAGACCCATCATTGTTATAATACTGGTATTTTGTCCATAACAAGCAACATAAATCTGGGAACCCATTCTGCCCTCCTCACCAAGGTTGCTCTAATCTTAAATCGTTTGCCTGGGAACAAATGAATGATTAAATTAAAGCTCTTTAACTTCTAAGTAGCATTGGACTTGAATACTATCTGGAAGGGAGTTTACCAATGGCCTGGACCCATCAAATAGTCCCCATAAATTGAGTTTCCATCAACGTATGCTCCCCATAAGTTTTATTTTCACAGATCATTTATGTGGCCAGAAATCCCAAGGACTGTGCTGTCTCCTACTTCAATTTTCAACACATGCTTAAACTGTTTGAAAATCCGGGAAAATGGGAAGACTTTCTGGAGAATTTCATTGCTGGGAAAGGTAAGTAGACATTATTTATGTAAAGAACAAAGCTTCTTACCTGCATGTTTTAGGGGAGTAGGTGATCCTGATAACCCTTTCATTGAGTTTCATAACACAGGAGACAAATGGAACTTTTTGGTTAATAACACACATGGTGAGGAGTGAACAGGTTCTTGTAAAAAGAAGATAAAAATACAGGAAAATCCCATGCTAATTATTTTCTAGATTTACAGTTTGGGGAAATGGCTGAAGCAGATTTGGATACTGTATATCATTTTCTAATTTCTAATCTGAATTTTTTCTTTTTTCTTTTTTGCAGTTGGTTAAGGCTCATGGTTTGATCATGTTCGTGGTTGGTGGGAGGCTAAAGACCGTCATTCAATTTTGTACCTCTTTTATGAAGACATAAAAGAGGTAAGCATCTCTCATACATTTACACATACAGACATACTCAGGTGGTATTTTCCACTAAAGAGAACCTTAGGACTTCTAACTATTAATGTTCATCAAATAAGGGTCACTTTTTTTTTACTATATTTTTAATAGTGATTTTTAAGAGAAAAATGTAACTCAATTTTATACAACATTTTGAAAATCAAATCCTACACATTGTGATCAGGTTTAAATACAGGCCTGTTAATCACAAAATACACATACATACCAACCACAAAGAAGGAGATTGGCATCTGAGTAGCACTGTGTCAAAAAAAGTGTGTTTATTATTTTTTCAATTGCAATCGCTTGCAGAATCTGAGATTCCATGCAATCACAGTTGAAAAGATGGCTATAGATTGCTAAACAGATTTGGATTTCAAAGAGAAAAGGTTCATTGTTTTTCCTCATTTTTTCCATTGCTCTATTATGGTCCATCACAGTGGTCCCCAAACTTAAGGGTGCTACGGACCACTTCTGTGGAGAACAGTTTTTCTGTGGACCAGATGGGAGTGTGGTTTTGTGGTTACACCTGTGCTCGGATGGGGGCTTCGCTTGCTTCCTTGCAGGCCATGGACTGGTGTCAGTTTACGGACCGTGGGTTGGAGACCCTGGTCTATCACAAGTCATAGAAAATCTGAATGCCTTATTGGACAATGTGAACATGAG